CACACGCTCGTATAAGCAGCTTCATCTTGCAGAGAAGCTGCCAGATTGTGCAGGCGGTGTGCTTGACTCTCTAACCATTCTGTACCTGCATCTCTTGTGCCTTTATGTAACTGGACCAGAACCTTGCCTTGCCCCTGTAGTCAATGAGTTTTAGTATCTGCCTCTCTGGATTCTGCTACTGAGCCAGGACTCCTGCCTGTGGAAGAAGAAGTGCTTTCTTTCCTCAGTGACTTTGTCTACTGTCACTGTGCCTTGTCACTGCACCCAAGTATGTAGTCAATGAGTTTTAGTATCTGCCTCTCTGGATTCTGCTACTGAGCCAGGACTCCTGCCTGTGGAAGAAGAAGTGCTTTCTTTCCTCAGTGACTTTGTCTACTGTCACTGTGCCTTGTCACTGCACCCAAGTAATGCCAGAGCCAGTCACCCACCTTGTCAGCTCTACACCTCTACCAGCACCCGGCCCTCTCCAAGCTCATCATTATTGTCAATAAAAACGTACGTATTTACAACCAATGATACTGGCCATTTAACTGGGCTCCTCTCAGTTAGTGGTGTGTACTTCTCACACTAAACTGACATGGCAAACAGCACTGAATGTTCTATCAGTAGGATATGCAGTAGGAATAATATGGGGAGGGGGATGGAAATAAAGGCCTATTATGACTAAGCAACAGGAAAAATACATATATATTTTATATGGTTTCTATTGTGTGTGTTGTTTTTTTTTAAAGAAAGCTGTGCAGTCTGACATGAGTAACATAGATGACAGAATCAGTGCAAGGACCTTTCACACAAAGTTACAAATACAAGTGTTCTGTAATCATTTCCCCAACATAAATACAGCCTTTCTTCAGTGTGTGGCTAGCTGAAGCCAACAGGACCCGGCCCATCACCAGCACCAGGGCGGTTCCGCTGTGGCTATCACAGCGGCAAAGGCTGGACAGTTGAGGCGGTTGCGAAAAAGCTTGTTGGGTGGAGCCATAAAGAAGAGAGGAAAAAAGTATAAAAATATCCAGAAATTTGGGTCTATAATTGGCTGTACCTCCCTGCCTTTTTTATGTGTGAGCACAGCCCAGTCCAGGAGAGCAGAAGCCATCCTATCCGTGAGTGAAACCCTACACTTCCCCCCATGCAGTTCCTTCACAGTCTGTCCTCCCATCCACAAGGTTGCTGAACCTCACCTTAACTCATTCTTTAACAACCCTGGACTGTCGCCTTGGATTTTATGATAATCCCATCTTGATTTCTGGCACCTGCAGAAGAGATATTCTGGATTATTATCACATGCTAATGATGCTGCCCCACTGCTGATTCTGGGTGTCAGTGCTGGAGGCGGAGAGACTTACACCTTCAGCAACGTTGACTGGGTGATAGGCCAGGTAAGAACAATACCCCTGCATTTTAAAATCAATCTGTCACTGCTGTCTTCCTTTAAAAAGACTTATTTACCTTAAATACCTTATTTTTTAGCATCTTTGAATTGTTGCCACAGTTTTTGTTTTTATCCATCAGATGTCAGTAAACTGTTAATTTTTTTCCCTCTTCTACTTCTTGGGCTACACATGGGAAAAAATGGTTCTGTTTTTTACATTTTGGGAATGATTAACGTGATGCTTCTGTTATACACATCTATGTTGCAGTCCCAGGTCTGCCATTGAGAGAGGAAGTGGAAACAGTCCTGATGACACATAGCCAAGTTCAGATACTGATGGAGGAAAACCAGCTTGTTTAGCTTTACCTTGGTTACTGTACCTGGTTTTAAAACTGTGGATTAACTCAACCCCGCCTTGGGAGATCCATGCAGTGTATTTAAAAGTAATCAGAGATGAAAGAAACACAAATTAAAATGTGCCTGTACAAATTTGGGTGAAGAGGATTAAGAACATGAATCCATACCTTGTTCTTTCATAGGCCACTGAGATTTTTTTCCCCACTGAAGTCTTGCTGGGCTGAATTTTTCAAGTTTTAAATGCACACTAATTGAGGCAATTAGAGTGATTCAGTTAGTGTGCCTATATTCCTCATTATTAGTACCAGTGAAACCAAGTAGCAGAAATAGCTCAGTGGAGAGACAGATAGCGAGACAGAGCACTTTGCTTTACCCACAGTAAATAATGCACTCTCTATTTCACAAACTATATAGTCAACAGGCTGCTGTTTTTAAAATGACCTCCCTCCACAACATTACTTGGAATCAGTTTATATTTCAATAACTTTCTTTCAAAATCTTAGAACCATATACAAACTATAAATTACATTTATTACTCCTTCATTCTACTTTTACCCAATTTTAGATCCCAAATTACAAATATGTTACAAAGATAGCAAAGCTTTGTTAAAACAAGAGAAATACTCCAAGCATCAAATGGACAATAATAATCGCAGTCCATATCAGTTAATAGCAATACAGTTAAGTTGAGCTGGATTTTTAAACTTAGCTCTGATTCATACTTTATCCATCAAATTATTAGTTTGATCATTTAGGATATTTACGTATTGACACAAGATGGATACCACTCACATTTGCCCAGTAAAAATTAAGGGGCAGTACAGAGATGAAACAGTTAGCTTAGCATAAACACTATAAGCAGGGGGAAAACTAACCAAGTACTGTCCAACAGTAACAAAATCTACCCACCACCACGCCTAAACTCGGTTATTAATGATGATTTGTTTCTTGTACAAAAACAATATTTTATGAGATATGTGTTGACATCTCACTCAAGGGTATATTAAGGAGAAAATTATTTTGCTTTCAAAAACATATTCCCATCCATTCCTTGGACAGTTACTTCTGGGTGAGTGCAAGATGTCTATGAGCTTTAGAAATTTTTATGTTTGGACAAAGTCAAGCTATTTGTTTGCTCCTGTTCCCAGTCTTTATGCTAAGCTACGCTAACCAGCTCTTCAGTCCCGTTTCATTTTGGATTAACAGATTTGATAGTGGTCTTCTCACCTACCTCACAACAAGAAAGCAACTACAGACTTCCTGAAATGTCTAACTGTTCCTTTAAATATGGCATTGGGCACAGTCTGGACAACAACCTGTAAGTTTGGATGCCATTCACTTCTGGAAATACATTAACTACATAATTTAATAGAAAATCAGAGCATGGAAAGTTGGTAAAGGATGGTAAGGAACTGTTCAGGACATGCATTATTACTTTCCAAGTTGTGCATAACTCTGTCCTCAACTTTCCCCAGTGACCCCCCACAGTGACAGTGTTTCAGTCAGGATGAGCCCATGTTATGGCTATGGTCAGTCATCTATCAGTCCTAATGGCAGGCATCATAACCGCTGGTGTACAATGAGTGCAAGAATAGTTTTGTATTTATATGTCTCTCAGTGCCACCCAAGCACAACAGCCTCATAAATGAAACCAGCACAGACAAACTGAAGATTTCTATGGGACATGCCGATGCATCAAAGCAGCACAGATTTCACTCTAGCAGCGCCAAAGGACAAGTACTCATGCTGCATAAATTACCTAATGCAATTTTAAATGAGCTTCTGACTAATCCTTTGGTAAGATGTGCCAGCAGTCATTGCATAAGGCCTGCTTCTCTTACAGCAGTCACCACTACAGGAACCATTTCTTCCACTTTGGTTTCCTTGTTGCTGTTCCCTAACTGCAAATTGTTTTTTGTTTTTTTTTGTTGTTGTTGTTGTTTCAGTGAAAAAAGTGTGAGACAGTTTGGCCAAGAGTGTTTGGATTCTTAATGTCTTTTAGTTGTGTTGTATATCTACAATGTACAATAAGTGTAGAGTTGGCTAAATTATGGTGTGTTGATGTTTCTACTGACCTTCCCACAGACTGGACAACTTGATGGTGGTAATAAGTTAAACAAAACAGAGCCAAACCAAAGCCAAGATGGAACTGCGACTGGGATTTAGGTGTACCCTGGTCTTGATCACTTTGGTCTTTACTCTTTCTGGTGAGAGAGTGGCAGCACAGAGGGCAGGTGAGAGCATTTCCTTTGAAAAGTCAGTGCTTGGACTTATATTGTGTGTATGTGATCAAATTCAATTGTATCTACCTACTCTAGGGTGTAAAAATGTCCACTATGACTTGGCATTTATCCTGGATACCTCATCCAGTGTTGGAAAAGAGAACTTTGAGAAGATCAGACAATGGGTGGCCAACCTTGTAGAATCTTTTGATGTGGCACCAGACAAAACAAGAGTAGCTGTGGTTCGCTACAGTGATAGACCCACAACTGAGTTCAACCTGGCGCAACACAGGACCCTGGGAGATGTCAAGCGAGCTGCCGGTAACATTCGCTACCTGGGGGGGAATACAATGACTGGGGATGCTATCAGCTACACCACCAGCAACATCTTCACAGAATGGAATGGTGCAAGGCCCATAGCCAGAGGCATTCAGAGGGTGGCCATTCTACTCACAGATGGCCGAAGCCAGGATTATGTTCTGGAGCCCTCCAAGGCCGCTGCCAAAGCCGGCATCAGGATGTTTGCTGTGGGCATTGGGGAGGCACTAAAGGAGGAACTAGAGGAGATTGCTGCAGAGCCAAAGAATGCTCATGTCTTCCATGTGACGGACTTTAATGCCATTGACAAGATCAGGGGCAGGCTGAGGAGGAGGCTGTGTGAGAGTAAGTCAGCTAACACATCTCTCAGACTGCATGCCACATGGCTTCTGTTTGAAGTGCCCGCCTCACCCTAAACATGCACTTAATCAAATTAGACTCTTATTATATTCTTTAACCATTATACAAGGGACACACCCTAACCACAAAACCAACCCCAAATGCCATCACAGCTTTTATTTGACTGAATATAAAGTGTGCCAGGGGCTGTTGCAAAAATTGGCTTGTAAATTTCAGTTTTCTAATCAAGACATTTATGAACATAGATGTTTTTCATTGCTGCTTTGGTGCAGAAGTATTTAGCACTGAAAAGCCTGTCTTATGTAAACCTCAATGGTTTTTCTACTAAGAAAACTTTTCAACACAGACACACAGGCTTAGAAAGTAGTTTACATAGCCAAAAAATTAGCAACAAATAAGTTTAAAATTAAAATAAACTCTGTATGGTGTCCAGCAGCTGTTGGTGAATGGCAGACAAGTATTTGTGCATGTGTGTTTTCATGAGGAAGATGGATGCTTTTCACTCCAGCGCTTGAAATTCCTACCTAAAATTAACCAGACAGGCAAAGAAAAGCATGTCTTAAGTCTTAACCTCAAACAGTAAATACAAAAATGGAAATGACATGACTACATGGCACAGAAGAACAATGACAAGCTCTCACTTTAATCTGCCTCTACAGTACATTGTCAATTTTACATGGTAAAAGTAGAGCTTCTTTTGTAGAAAATGTTGATTCAGACTTTAAAACAGCCTTATTCTTTTTAAGGAAACATCACCTTGCAGAGTGATGCTGGTGTAAGGGCAAACTGTAAAGTCACTGGCCTTTGACATTGCTCTTTGACTCCACAGATCTTCAATCTGCCAACCAGTAAAGTGAGCTTTATATAATGAAACATGCTGTACGGCAGTTTGTAGAACACACCAAACGCTAAATTTATACTGCATCAAAAGTTCCAGTGTTGTCTTTTTGTAATTTCTAAAATTGCCACAAGTGAGTCTCTAAGTATATCAGTGGTCAGCACAGCTGGCTCACTGAGCCATGGGAGTTATTTTCACCCAGAAAATTATAGCTCTAATGTTTCAAATGGGTCCAGGGCAGTGTCCATGCTAAATGTTGTCACCTTTGAATCTATATGTTTAAAAAGGACACTATTTATTCTTTCCTGCACTGATTCATTAAAACACTTGTGGCCTCACTTGAGAATAACCTACCAGCTCACGCACTCACAAGTAACAATACACAAATGACCTTTCATGACCCAATGAGAGAGAACTTTAATATCACCTAGAGTATGTTTAAAAATTCACTAGCCATAATGCCAACAAGTAATATGGGTAATAGTAAGAATGAAAAATGTATCAGTCTCTGACTGCAAAAAAGAATGGCAGTTGTTAGGTCTGTACTGCTCAAGCTTCTACTGATACTATGAACCTGCCTGAGACCTTCATTTCCAAAGGCAGGTTTACTGCCATTGCTTCCATTTTAGCTCACAGCCAGTCCCTAAATTATAGCTTAAGGGCCACAAGTGCAGGGAGTAACTCTGCTATCTAGTGTGCTGAGTCTCAGAGCTGTGCAACAACACCATCGTTAAAAAAGAGTGACGCACATCCCTTCATTCACAGAATAGTAATTTTTGGTAAACTCACTGGGTTCATAAACAGTATATATCAAGTCTGAGATCTTCCATTATCACTTAAAATGGACTTTAAAACACAAGAAAACAAAAACTCCTTCAGTTTCACTGCTAAACAAACTGAGGACAAACACACAGCTGAATTTAGAAATAAACCATGTCAAAGGAAGTTAACACCACACATGGAATCACTAAAACTATGCAAATGCTGACAGTTAAATTAGCTGCTTGGATATTCCCATTAGACATGCTCTGGGCTTTGCATGGAACAGAAAAAATAAGCAATGTCAACCAAGCTGTCCTCACAAAGAACAATGCAAAGGTTAAAAGCCTCTCTGATGTAATGATTTGTATAGCTGTGATTTTAGAAAATTGCAGGGTTCAGTAGTAGCTGTTTGGCAGATACTTGATCTATTAGGGAAGTTGGAGTGTCTCACTGTGATATTTTCAGCTGCTGTTAATATTTAAGACTGACAGCCAGAACACAGGCAAATTGTTAGGCTAATATTAGGTTTAATGAGAAGTTCCTCTGAGCAAATTGATTACAAACTGATGACAGGATCCTGATTTGCTGTTGTTTCCTGATCCACGGTATGAAAATGAATCTTGCCATGTGGGAGGGGTGAGAAAATTTTATTCATATTCATCTTGTCAGTTGTATGACTCACACAGAGAAAGAGATCATATATCAAAATTACATTAAATCAAGACGTGTCTACAGCAATGCAAGCAGCTCTGTCAGGTTGGATGTGGCGTAGGCACAGTAGTACTTTGAGTTAAATCCTATTATTTTAATGGTAACATGTTCACATTTACAGCATCAAACTGCTGATGTTTAATGGAGTTGTTTAAAATATGTCACTCTCAGATAGTGGTTTTTCGTGCCTTGTGAAAGTGATAATATCTGCTATAACCCCTAAAAATAAGTAGATACTATATACTTTATATTCCTTAGATAGCAATTCTACAGCCACATTAGCAGCTCTGTGGAACTGTTCTTGGGCACAGTGCTGCTTTGAAGTAAATGTCAGCATGCTCACAAGCTTACAGTAACAATGTCAGCATGTTAATATTTTGTATAACATTTACCAAATTCACTATCCTATCAGAATAACTTTCCTTCTCTGTGTTTTTCCTTACTTTACTAAACTTCGCTTCACTTAAGAGGCCGAACACTATTGGATCATTCAAGTCAATTTTCAGTGCCATGACAACCATAAAATATTCACCATCTTTAGGAAATATTTTTTGTAATTTGGGCAAACTGACCCTTAAAAAAATTCAATCAAACCTTTAAGTAAATGGCTGAAAAAAACTTTGAAAAATCAACTGGACTAGGTTTCTAGGTTTCTAGGTCTAGGACATTTCACCTTTCATCCAAGAGGCTTCATCAGTTCTGCCCAACTGGCATTGAGCTGGAGATATTTATCCCCATCGGTGGTGTTTCAGTCCTTTGAAGGCCAACAATGTCCCCTTTAAGTAAATGTTTACATCTATTAAACCAAACAGGATTCATAGCTACATTTTTAGTAGTGAAGCTGGCACCTTGACACACATCGAGAATTTTCCTCCTGCCAATAAAAACATGATGGTGTTGCATTTGTCAGTATCATCACCATCACAGAAATATGTGTGTGTGAAAATATATAACTGCTACTGCTCCTTAGGCCTGTAGGTGTGCCCCCTCCGCCCCCTGTGCAACATAGCCACCCCACCCCACACTCACCCAAACACTTCAGCCCTTCAGACATCAGACAGGAGAGCTGGAGGGCAGTCTGCCTGGTCTAGTGTTCTTCACATCATATATCAATCCGGAGACTGTGTTTCAGTAAGATTGTCACTTCCCAAACCAATCCAACACTTCACACCTTTTTCTTCTCACAGGAATTTCTGCGTCTTTTAACAAAACAAGTCTCCAACAGAAGGATACAAAGACGCTGTACCAGTTCAAATGTTCTCTCCAATGTGCTCCCATAAGATCCTCATATACTGATTCATAGTGTGTCTAGCTGAAGTATTGTCCTTTCTCCTCAGATGTCTTGTGTCCAAACATGAAGGTTCAGCCTGATCGTTTCAAACCCAACAGTACCAGTTATGGCCTTGAAGAGGTTCCAGGTATGTGCAGACTGCTCCTTTCCTAACAATAACAAGCAGTGTTGGCAAACTTGTAAATCACAACTTCAGCTCTTTATTTTTTAAGCCATTTCCTACACTCCCAGGTTTAGCTTTTATATATATTATTGCATTCAATGTTCCTTCATTTCCATCTGATTAGAAACTAAACTGGTTTTATTCATGACTTAATTTTGTAGTTCTGGCACACTCATTTTCTGCCCCATTTCATGCTGCCATCCTAAACACTCAGTATATTTGGAACAACAAAATGCTGTCAGACATGAATGTGCCCAACTTTACCCACTTTACATTATATTGAAAGCTGAGTTGCTGCATTTCAGAAATTTAAATGTATTTAATCTCCTGTTCCAGGCAGGCATTGGCTTAAAGCCATTTCCATATGCTATAAATGAATTATCTTGAATTGTGCAATCCATTACAGTGATATTAAAATATTTTTGTCAAGATTGCAGCAGCTGTATTTAAAAATGAACAGCAAAATGCAGGATTTAAAGTGAAAGAAAAATTTTGCACTTTTGTCTTCCTGCAAAGGGATAGATGAGACGATGGAAATCATCTGTACAGCTGTAGGGGAAGAAACAACAAGTTATCTTTTTTCTTTTATCACTTATGCTAATGGCCACTGGCGGTAGCTTAATAATTGCCCTTCAGGTATTAGATTGATGTAAATCTCTCAGAAACAAAATGAACACAGTAGCCATCCCTGGTAGGATAGTGGTTAAGGCGTAGCACTCTCGCTGGTGCGGCCTGGGTTCGAGTCGGGGTTGCATCAGGAAGGGCATCCGGCATAAAACACATGCCAAATGTCAACATGCGAGTCGTCAGTGTGACGATTCGCTGTGGTGACCCCTAAACGGGAAAAGCTGAAAGTGATTTCTAGTGGTATTTCCAGAATGTAGACCTATTCATTTAAGGGGGTAAGACAAAATGAACTAGTTTTGCTCTTCAGATGTATCTTTTTTTCAAATTCAGTGGTTAAACTAGTCTTTTACCAAGCAAAGCACATGTCTAGTCCTCCATCATTTGCTGTTTTTATTTCATGCATTCCAAACTACTGTGTTGGTTTCTCAGAAGTCTTGAATAGCGTTTCTCCAGAAAGGTCGGATGTTGTAAGAGTGTCTTTTGGGGGCTCTGAGTTCCTGTCTATGTCTCACTCCCACCCACATTCATCACACTAACAGAAATAACAGATGCATAGCCATGACTGTTTGGACTCCTGCTACTCTGAACTTCATGGAAAGAGAGATGTCAGTGGTGAAAGCTGTGTTTAGAAATGCTGATTCACATTTGGCTGGCACACTGACACCCGATAACCGTTGTCAGGGCAAAGATGATGGATGAACTCTTTTGTGCCAGCATCCAGTTATTGTTCTCATTATTGAAGTAGTCTGTGTTTCTTAACAGATTCATGTTAGGCTAGAAAAGTCTATAAAACGACGTTTCAGTCTTCATTGTCACTAAAACACTGCACCCCATTTCAATATAATAATGAGTAACAGTCATCCACAAATTAACCAATTGATCAAGTATTTTTGTTTTTACCCACTAATCATTTAGGTTATGGGAGGTTAATTATATCCCAGCATGCACTGAATGAGAGACAGGGTACACCCTCAGCATATAATATGGCTGGCACCCACTACACTAAACAGCACATTCACTCCTGACCAGCATACCTTCAAGCTGTAGGAGGAAACAATGCACCAGGAGGACATCATGAAGACACAACATGTAAACACAGAAAAACCCCAGGCAGACTTAGTCTGTGTGTAAATGCATTTTTGCTTTTGCACTACTACCAATTATCATGTAATAATACTTTATTCCAGTGAATCCCTATAAATTATTCAACTACATGCAGTATAATCTGCTGTAATTTAGTAAATATGAAGCTCCTACTAGCAACCACTTAGTTTAAATAGAGACTGGAAACTCTTTCTTTAAGCACTTAACTAGTAATACAGTAGTGCTGTCACAGTCTAAAAATATTTGATTACAACTTGCTGCCGCTTGTAGCGAGTGCTGAAATTTACGCAAGTATTATACATTTATTTATTTATTTTGGTCATTTGTTATTAGGGTATTCATGAGTAAGCATAATTTGAATACTTTATATACTGTTGAGTGGTGCTGGTAATAAATACATAAATAATATTAGTAATATTTTGTCTGCTGCTCACGTTTTGTGTATTGCTTTAAGACAGCTGTCAAACAAATGCGGTTAAATAAAAAGGTTTTGTTATTTTTATTAAGGAGCAGAAATGGAAATGCTAAGTAAAATACAAGTTCATCAAAATTATAATGAAGAACAGAACTACTAGTACTCTAAATGTACTTGGTTACTTTCCACTACTGAAGCAAAATTAGTTTTGGTGCTGCTGTTAGATGAAGAAGTCTTCAAATTTAACATCACAAAGTGGTACAGTTATGTTCTCTCCACTTGTTGAAGTGACTTTATAGTCCAAATCAAAGACAGCCAATCAGCAGTGATTGACAGTAGAGCAGTCTATGCTTCTGAGCAGCGAGGACAGCATCACTTCTCACTGACGAGACATGTTATCATATTTTCACCACTGGGCAAGTGCTAATTATGTGGTTTTGCTTTTTCTCTAAACCACAAATAAATGAGAACAAACGTCAGATAAATCACTGAAACCCACTGATGTTTTCTTAGGCAGATATACCGCGTCATCACATGTGCTAGAAGCACTCTGCATTAAAACTGGGCTGTGTTGTTTGTTTTTCTGAGTCCAGTCCAAAATCCCAGTCTCCAAAATTAAATGACAAATTGTTTCTTGAAGCCAAAAGCTAGGTTATTGTGGAATACACCATAAATACATTGTACATTGCATTGATTTATGTTTCTTTTATGTTTAGCTACCAGCACTACAAATGAAATGGTGCTCACTAAGAAGTTACTGTCTTGATGGAAGATTGCAAATTTAGAAATAGATTTCATGATGATAACAGTTCCCAAAGTATGGTCCAAGGATCATCGGGAGTACATAGGGAGAATCAGGATTTTTTTCATACTTTAGATGGTGGCACAGTGAGAGAAAGTAAAATGATGATTATATTTCTACTATAAGAGCTCAAGGGCTCTATTTTCCTGTAAGAGGGCGCAGGGCTAAACTCATGTCTACAATAATACATTATCATAGGGAGGAATAGATGGTGAGCAGGTGGAGTAGGGGCTGGCTTTAGTTCTGTCCAATCAAACCAGCTCCTCTTGTCCCCTTTAAAGAGCAGGATGGAAACCTGACTGACTGATGTCACTGATGTCAGGACATGGAAACATGAGAGGAAAGATTCTTTCCCTGTGTCTTCTTCTCCTGACAGTTATGTTCTTCATTCCTAAATTAAGCGATCAAACTATTTATGTAGAAGTACTGAACATAAATATTCACTCAGCAGTCTGTTAATATCACTGACCAGTGTTTGTGCATGGAGGATAGAAAGTGTCTGGTCCTGTAACCAGCAGCAATTATATAATGCAATTTACTCACAGCTTCATCCAGTGCACAAAATCCACGGGGGTCCTGAATGTGACCTTATAAACATTTCAGTATCTTTAAGATCATACAATATAATCATATTGTAATCACTGTGTTTATGTTGAAACTGATTGTGGTCTACCAGAGGCCACAGTCAGTGGATGTGTCGTCCATGTTATCTACAGCTGCTGCCCAAGCTGATCAAAATGCTAAAACAGAGCGGTTATTGCTATTGTTCTTTTGAGCTAAAACGAGCACCAAAGTTGCACTGTGCTGCCTAATCAGCACACACATGGCCTCAACTGCTTCCCTCCTCCCACCTCAGCGTATGCACATTATGCAAAATAGACATGCGTCCAAGCAAAATTGTATAACGACTGTGAATAAGGTGGTGCAGAAATTGTGCTGGCATGAAAATAGTGCCCCAAATCTACACTGAGCCCCTCTTGGGCCAAAATGTAATCACACAGCTGTCTGAGGTCTAAACCTCCCTGACATGACACAAGTGCTCTGGTTTTTCCAAACCACAGTAAGCCTACAACTGTAGCATAGCTTTAAGACATACACAGAGAAGTATGTAAAACAGGTTTCATTCTTTGATTGAGCATGTAAAGACTTTCTCTACATCCAGAGAAGTACAAGACAAACAGCATTTATTGTCATGAGCAGATCCATAGGCTCCCACTTGCACAACAGACACTCTCTATGTTGGCACAGAGATAATGTCACTCTCTGTGAGATATTTGCCAGTGATTATGACTTGACAGCCAAGAAACTTGTGGTCTGAGTCAGACATGTATTTAATGTGGGCTGTCTAGTCTGACCCGTCAGGGTACCGATCACACACAAGTAGCTGCAGAGTCTTTGCGGCTTTGTGCTCACTATCTAATGCACCAGTGGTGCCATCTGCTCTGATCAAAAGAATGCTGTGCATGCGTTCGCCTTTCCCAGTCAGTGAACTCATCTGGTTTTTCCCTGCAGATCACAGCACTGGTTGTTTCTGACTGTTCAAAATAACTTTTTGAGTTGATTATACGCTATCCACTGCCAGTCCAAATTACAGCTTTGTGCTGAGATAGTCTTCAAACAGCCTCAGAAACGGCACTGTGAGCGAATGTGCACCATGCGAGCACGGTGACAGAGAGAATCGAGGGCAGCAGAACTCACAGCTGCACGGCTTCCTCGAGCAACCCTTCAACTAGACTGATGACCGGCAAAACATTACTTGTGTATACAATAGCATCACCAGTGCTTAAATGCTAGAGCTGAAGCATCAGATAACCTTACTCCATAGGCTTCCTTAATCCCTACATTTTTATTACTTATCACATCATTTATGCTGGACTGCTGTTGTGATTCACAAGTAAGCCAAGTGCTTTTATGCCAGCAGATTTCACTTTTTTCAGTTAGCTGCATGTGTTGGGCTTCGGTGCTTGTGCAAGTATGAGCCTGTCCTTTGGTTTTAAGCTTAAAGACTTAAAGACAAAGCTTTAATGTGTCACTTTCACATGTGCCATTTATCCTACTTGACACTATGGTCTTTATGGCTTAGTCTGTTTTGTCACAAAGTCAGCATGTGGCAAGGCAACAAAAACAATGCTGATGACAGAGTTCAGCGTGTGTGGAAGGTGACTAAAGTATCAAGACAGGGCATGCTGAAAAACACACACACACAACAGCTTAATAAGAAGATACAGCTCCATCTACTGACCAGCATAGGTAGCCGTTAAGATGAAAGTGAATAAATGGTGGCATCCAATTAAATTGAAGTGTATAAGAAATGTCCCTCTAAAATGTCTTATTTGTGTACAAACCAGCACAGAGAAACTCTCCACCCTGTGGTATAGTAAGTGTAATCTTAGCCAATAGTGTGTCTGGGATACTTGGTGACCTTCACTGGATCATTGATCCCCTCACTTATTCAGTTTATTATGAAGCTTTTGTTTTAAACCTTATTTTTCACTCTGTTGCTAATGGCACAGAGGCAGCCTGTTTGTCTACCACCTGTTTAGCTGCTATTTTTAATCGTATCCACGAAGCTTTTTCCAGACTTTCACATTACCACGCTAATGTTTCCTGCTTGGTTTCCTCATTTAAAGATTGGTGCACCAGTGTTAATTTTCTTACAGGAATATGTTGAGGCTGTTCTCATCCTGTTGACTCTCTAATGGCACAGTCTGCTTTCAGAAGAGCTCTTTCATCAGAGTCACAACCACAAGCTTTCAGAGAGATCTGCTGGACAAACTGGCAGCATTAGTGCTGTACAAGCTCTCATCCTGCTGGCAATGCCATAGCTACAGCACTTGTTTGTTGTACAAGGGAGTAGCCTTTCTAAACCACCTAAATATGGTCTGTGGTTACACCACTTTAAATCACATTCTGCAAGACAACGTACACACATGTGCATGCACTCTCAAACTCACAAGCAGACCTTACTATTGATGGCAACTAGTTTTTTTCCTCTGGCAGAAAATCAAACAGATGTTTGATGGCCAACAAATGGCTCTATTTTCCAGTGATTCACTAATGCAAACAGAGGGACTGCAGGGTGTGGTGAGAAGGACAGGCCCGATTAAGCTTCAGCATACCCTGAGAGATTTGAGAAAACCATAAGTCATCCTCACGACTCAGTAGCACCGCTGCTTATTTATGTGTGACATTGTCTTGAGTCCAACTAGGCTACCTTATGTGTTCCTGCAGGGTTTGACCTGATGAAATACTTCAATGTGAGGGATATTCTGGGAAGCAGAGTTGATGAAGGCCAAAGTTCTTATGTTCGACTTGGTGCCATGCCCATTGTAAGGCAAACAGAGTAAGTGACCAGCCACAGTAGTGCATTTAATGCAGTACAGTGCATAGTTTCTTTAGAATATTGTGAAAATGAGATGCATATAATATGTACTGAATATCTAAACTGTGAGCAACTGCAACTGTGTGTGTATCACTATGTGAGAAATAACAATGGGTCTTTATTCCACAGAGATGTGTTTCCTCAAGGCTTGCCAGATGAATATGCCTTTGTGACGACTTTCAAATTCAGGAAAACGTCCAGGCGTGAAGACTGGTACCTCTGGCAGGTTTTTGACAAATATGGAATCCCACAGGTAGGTAAATGTAAATAGTAATAAATGTGACTGTTTATGGGTCCAGATTTGGCCTAGTTACAATACAAGGTCAATCTGGAAGAGGCTCGGCTCACTGATGATCCAAACAATTAAACTATAAGTCCAGACTCCGGGTTTCCAAATGGAAAATCACAATAGTAATACTACAGTATATTTAATTCTATAATTCATGTTATTCAAGTTACATTTTTTAAAACCTGTCTCCTGACATTTATATTAAAAAGCAAACATTTTTAAGCTTTGTGTCTTACACTGAATTAACAGAAAACGAGGTTTAAATTCCCTGCACTTCTCTATAGCCTATCTTGACTTGAACTTGGCTGCCTGTATTTTTCAGCTTCTATTATTAACATTATCCTGCCTCTGACTTGTCAGGTGTCCATTCGTCTAGACGGCGAGAACAAGGCAGTGGAGTACAACGCTGTCGGGCTGACAAAAGATGCTGTCAGAGCTGTGTTCAAGAGCCCTCAACTCGAAAACCTGTTTGACCGCAACTGGCACAAGATTGCCCTCAGTGTGGAAGCCAAGTCTGTATCTCTGTACCTGGACTGCAAACACATCCAGACCCTGCCCATTGAAGACAGGGAAGACATTGACATCCAGGGCAAGACTGTGATTGGGAAAAGGCTGTATGACAGTGTGCCAATTGATGTCAGTTTTCACCTGCATGAGTTTGAATACTGTAATGCACAGAAATATAAGTACATTTGTTGAGGTTAATATGTTCATCTGTCTGTCTCTATGCAGTTTGACCTCCAGAGGATGATGATTTACTGTGATTCCAAACATGCAGAGCTGGAAACCTGCTGCGATCTACCCAATGGTCCAGTGAGTATTTTAGGCTATAGTTTTTAGTAAATGTAATAAAATTATTTTTTATAGGCTGCTGTGTCACAGATCTCGTGCCATATCTCTCTCCACAATGTTGGCAACATTGGCTAAGCTAATATTATAAAGAATCTGAATAATTATACAAGCTACTTGTAGTAGGATACTAAAAATATACAGCCAATCTTTTTTTTGTCTTTTCTGCTGAGACAACCAGTCTATACATAGGCATTTTGATAAAACATGCCTGGAGTCTCTGTTGGTTGGCCAGCAACCTTACTGTGAACATAGGTGTCCAGAAAGTTGCTGCACCAGCCAAGATATAGTTACAGCATATCAGACAGTTTCAAAGTATTCTTAACAAAATAAACAAATACGATAGTGTTATTTTGTTTGCTTTAAACTGTCGGTGTATTTTTAACTTCAGAGCCACGATAGTTGCTTCCCCTTACTTCTATGCTAAGCTAACTGCCTCCAGGCTCTAGAGCCGGACTTTTTCTTTATGCCACACTTTATCCACAGGCATGACACTGATTTTGATTTTCTTATCTAACTATGGTAGAGTGAATGAATACACATTACTGAAAATGTGCAAACACTTTAAATACCAATCAGTTCCTTACAGCTACTGTTTAACCTCATTCACACTACCATGTTTTTTTTATTTTTTTATTTGATGGTTGCTGTTGACCTTAATGTTATCTGTTCAGTGCCCTAAAAAAGTGGTGACAGAGGCCCCCCCTGTGGAGATTCCCACTCCAAGACCGACCAATGTGGAGCAGCAAGGAGTCCCTCAAGTGAACTGCTCCTGCCCTGCTGGAGAGACGGTAAAGCCACCTGATTTTACCAGACTTTAATCCTGCTGGTTATTTCTATGGATGAGTGGGGATCCTTTCTTTGAGCGTTTTCGACAGATGTCTGCATTTTTGTTTCTCACAGGGAGCGATCGGTGCACCTGGTGTTGCAGGTCCCAAGGGTGAAAAGGTCATCTAGCCTTGCCTTTAAGCACTCGTTTGTGTGTGACAATAGATACAGTTTCCTTATGTTCCAAAGTTAGTTGTTCTGTTTTTATATTGTGTCAACATGCCTACCTTTTCAGGGTGACACTGGCCCTCAGGGTGCCATCGGACTGCCTGGCATCAAAGGGGAAAAAGGAGAAACTGTATGAAAACTTAAAGTGTGCACATTTACACATGTAGTTTTTGTTTTAAACAAGTCATAATAGTTAATTGACTGAGTTTTAGTTTATCACGTTTAGTGTTGTGCTCATAGTTTCAAATATTTTTGGCCTATATATTGTCAGACGCAATTTATTTTAGATTGCATGCTTTCCAACTATTCTGCTTTTTTTCCTGCCTCGATAATAATTAATCCTTATTGATTAATTATTTGCAGGGCAAAATAATCTCTGTCAAAGGTGACAGAGGTGAGAAGGTAAGTAAACCTTCTCTTCTTGATGCCACATGAGCATCATGGTCACCCTATATACATGTTTCTCTCTAAGCATATATTTTATGCATGTAAATCTTACACAAAATAATCCCATATCTTTTGTTCTTTTCTTCTCTTATTTTTTTATATGCATCATATGACACAGTTACCTCTTTGCAGAAAAGGGAGTGGCTAGGAAAATTCTCATGTAGCTGTTATTGTCAGAATTACAGGACAGGTTACCACAGAAAATATGTAACAGTGAGGGCTGGCCTACGCAGACGCCCACCCAGTCTGTTCAAATCACAGCCTCAGCGCTGCCTGGCAGTGCCAGCTGGGAGTCTCAGAGTATAATTTATTCCTTGAAACAAAATCCGGAGCATGAATCATTTAAGCTGCCCTGAGAGGGACACTTAAAATCGCCACAAGAGGTCAGAGAGAGGAGGCACAGTGTTTTCACTTGTGTTATCTATTCTGGTAGTGATATTCTGAGAATGGATCTTTAAAGTATTTTGGAGGTGTACAGAAATACAACCTCTTTTCCCGCTCTGAAAAAGGTCAGGGAACTTTCTTTTTTTAAACATCCATAATGCAGTCAGACCAACAGCAGAACTCATTTCATGATAAATGTATTGTTGTGTTATAGTTCTTGCTCCTGGAAACTTTGCCGGTTTGATAAAACTGCAGTAAATCCAAGTCTAACGCACAGCATCCCTGCTGCTTTTTTCTTTCTTTCTTTTGGCATGTACATCTGTCTTCACATTCACTCAACAAAGGCTGCAATTTGTTGTTGTAAACTCTTCAAAACCACTGCAAAAATATGATGTAAGCCAACTTCAAGCTGTTGTTAAAAATAGCTATGTTGGTTACATGGGGTGAAAGTGAATTAATCCCACTTTGATTGCTTCTAAGTGCATCTTTAACTGAATAGAAAAGCCAATTGTCCATGTAGCAGTGTTGCTATAGATAACATCTTTTTCATTACTGGGGTCCTTCTCATCTCTGTGAAAAAAGAAATGACATGCGTTCAAATGGTATAAGCTGCTAAAATAATTAAGGGGCGACCTTCTGTGACTCGTAAAGTGGTTTATGAAGCAGAAGGAAGTCTTGTGGAAGGCAAGACCTCATGGTACTGTGTAATTTAAGAGACATTACGTGTCACTTGAAGCAACTTTCAAATTCCAAAAGATTCCTTGGCACATGAAATAACATCAGTATGCAAACAAACACAAAGCAACACTAAAGAGCAACACTGAAGACAATGGAAAGCCATTGTTCCTTGAGTGTTTGGCTGGATATGTGACCAGACCATAGTGGGTCTTTGGTGAGGTTGTGGACAGGTGTTCACATATCCTGGCTCCCAAACCTTTACTCAAAAGTTTGTATGTGATTACAGTATCTTCTATTTTGAATGAATGTGCCGTTTTTGTGTCGTTTTATGTTCTGTCTTTTGTCCAAATGTGTAATCTTCTGTCTTTTGTCCAAATGTGTTATTTTTCATTGTTTGATTACTCAAATCCAATAATTAAACTCTATCATTTGTACTTTGTCCTACATTAATCCTCCAGCCATCATGTACTAAACCATGTTCTACGATACTTACCGGGTTGATTTTCTGACAGCACGCCATCGTTGCCTGCAGCGCCGTCCATCATGCATGTGTGTGTATTGCAAAACAGTGAAAGTAAAGAAATGCCTTCTGTTTACAGGGTGATAGAGGCAGCATAGGGATGCCAGGTGCTCCTGGACAAAAAGGAGAGAAGGTGTGGCAGTGGTGAACCTGGACATTTGGAGGATGTGTTTCTTTATATCTTTAAACTTAACAGTTCACATACCGGTATTAATTACACATTTCCCTTCATCTGACAGGGAGTTGGTGGTGTGCCAGGTATTGATGGCTTATCTGGGGATAAAGGAGACAAAGTAAGAAATACCTTTTTTATATTACAGTATGAAGTGTGCGATTGAGACATTTAGAAAATGTTCGTGTGTGTGTGTTTTTATTGGTATGCATCTTCTTAAACAGGGGGCAGCAGGACTAGCTGGTGAACCAGGGCTGCCAGGTCCAGTTGGACCAAAGGTGGGTGAATGCAGTCTTCCAATTTTGAATCTATTCACAAGCCAGCACACATGTATTTAGCTCATTTTGTATTGTTTTAAAGCAATTTTGTTGCAGGATTAAAAGTTAAATATACATTTTTTATTCATTCTGCTTTGGTACTGATCACGGTCACAATTTTTTCTGTTATGTGGGTGTACATAGTTTTTTCTGGACAATTACCTCTTGGCCTGCTATTGATTTCCTGTGAAAAGAGGAGGTCACAGGTTGACATTCTCTTGGCTGAAGCAGCAGCTGGTGAAAGAGGCAGGAGGATGAAGAGGGAAGGGTGATGGCAGGCTCAGGTTTGGCAAATGGAATGTGACACACTGCCTGACCCATGACTGGTGGGAATGACTGCCCCCTTTTGAACAAACACAGTTAATAGTAAATCAGGGAAATGCTCATGTCATGGCAGAGAGGGTAGACCAGAGAGGGTAGAGTGGGGTTAGACTAGAGTTCACACCCCAACCACAGCTTTGACATGGGATATACTGTAGTATTACCATTACTATTTGATGTGAAATTAGCCTAACACAAAACTTCAACTGAACAAGGTGTGTAAGGAGGTAGCAGCTTTGTTCATCATCATGACAGGTGCTTGACTATTGTTGGCATGTTTTGCAGAAATTCAGGCTAATAATCTTCATGCAGTGACAAAAATGTTTTGTCAGATGTGGTGTTGGAAAAGCTCCACTACATTTTATGCCTGTGTAAAACCTGTTAAAGACTGAGATTACTTTTTAAAGCTTCGTTCAGCTCTTTGTTTTGTTTTTACAGCACATTTACTGTTGTTTTCTCTCACTAACTCCATTTTCAGTGACCCCCCCCCCCAAAAAAAACCCAGTTTCCTTTATTTGCTGTAATGCTAACTACCTTGCTAGACAAAGTTGGCAACTAACATTAGCTAGTGACAGACCAGCTAGCTGGTTGGCAGATAAAGAAACACACCTTCCTCAGGAGTTGGTAGAGATCATTAAATGCAAATGGATTAAATATATATTTAACAATTTACAATGTGGAAGAGTGGGAAGTGGACGAAAAGGCATGATAAAGCATCTTTTGGAGCAGGTTGTTTGCCTGCCCTATTTTGTAACAGTAATATCACAGCAGCAAAAGCAGTAATAACATTAACATTAACAAGTGCTACATTAAGCCAAGACAATATGACAATGAGCTAAATGCAGTTCAAGACCTTATTATTTCAATTGTCTACACCTGTAAATTTACTACTGTAGAGTTTCACTGTGTAAAAACTTAACAGGCCAATAGCGGTTCCTGTAGTAAAGCAGAACAAAGTGGTGTGTCATTTAGATACTGTATAGATTTAGAAAAATACCTTATAAAAAGGGACATATGAGGGACAATGACTTATAAGAAGACACAGTGAGGTTATAGAGTTTCAATATTTTTCCATGCAGGTCTTGTCACTGACAGCTGCTGTTTTTGTTTTTGTTTTTTTGGAAGGGGGCCATATTTCTTAGGTGTAAGGTGTCTTCCATTAGTTCAGCTCCGACTCAGCAGTCCCCAGCTTGCCTACAGTACATTGCTGAATCAACAGCACTGAAACTTTTACAAATCCCAAGTCAATAACTTCTACTAATATAATACTATTCAATTTATATTGCATAGGGAATTCAAGGGGACACAGGACATCCTGGTGCCCCAGGACTGAGAGGTGTCACTGTGAGTAAAATCCGATCATGCTTCAGTTTAAGTGATCATCTAGAATCTCATATTGAATTGTTATGGTTTGTTTTGCCATAGGGTGAATCTGGTATCAAAGGTGAAAAAGGAACACCAGGAGCAAGGGTAAGTAACACTGTTCCTTGGCAATAGGAAAAAATAACATTAATAACAGATCACTGTGCTTCTTTTGTTAATGACTTGTGATCACAATAATACAGTAGTCGCTGAGAGACTCATTTACTCTCCCTGTCCATGCTTTCACAGCATGTCCTGGGATTTGAACTATAATGTTCAAAGGCTGATGTTAGTACAGAACTGCAACTACTGAACATAGAGATAACCTCTGAGATAGAGGGAGAGAGACCGTTCCTCTCACCAGAGCTGAGGCATGAGGGGCGTACTTGTGCAAGCAAATGTGGCTTAGTTGATTCACTCTCCACACTTCCTGCCTATGGGGGCGTTTGGCTATAACGCAGCTCATTCAGCCTCATTGAAGCTTTGTTGAGTGCTAAAGTTTTCTCTGAGCTGCAGACACCTTTCTGCTGTTGCCATCGCAATGATGGCACCAGACAGTTCAGGCTGCAATTAAATCAGCGAGAGGTTATCTAGAGCATCAAGAATGACTTCCATCTGCAGTCAAGATGTTTGTAATAAGGATTTCAATGTAAGTACAAACAACAAATCAATTAACCATGACAGGGAGATAAAAGAAACAACTGTAAGAATTACTTTTGCATCGTGCTAAGATGTTAACCACTTTTAAAAAAGTGGTTAATATAAAGCAGTAAACACAGTCCATGAATCACTTTGCCATATGGCATGAGGACGTACTACAGTATAGCAAAATTCAAACACGCCAAAGCCAGGGTTAGGGCTGTCTGTCAGCCAGTTAGTCACTCAGTAAGCAATTTCCTATAGTTGAAAAGTGGAAAAGCAGTTGCCTCAGTAAAATGATAAAGTGGATAGATGATTTAGAGAAGGCACTTGGGGCTGAATCAGGGCAATGTTTGCTAATAGAAAAGGATGTTGTTTAGGCTTTACTGTCCTGTCTTCTAGTTGAAAAAAAAATCTGTTTTTAATTAGCCACACTACTGATATGGCTCTAGGGATGTTGGTTTGTTGGTCCACTTCTTTGGTTCAGAATAAAATATGTCAGTGGCACAGATTGCCATGAAATTTGGGTACAGCTATCCATGGCACCCAGAGGATGAGTCCAAATAACTTTGTGATCCCCTGACTTTTCCCCTAGTGGCCTCATGAGGTCCCCCTTTGTGGATTTGAGTGAAACTATTAGATAGAATTTGGCAGAGGTATTAATGTCCACCACAAAATGAACTGTTAACAACTGTGGTGATCCAGTCCCAAAATGTCTTTATATACTGCAGCAGAGTTTGGGTTTATATATAAACCTTTTATTAAGTGCACAGTCATCCACCTGCTTTTCTGCACATTTTTAATTGTGCATAAAAACACTGAGTTGAAATGCTGGACATGTGAAAAAATGTCAAATATTGTGAAAAAAAGAAATAAAAGCAACATTTTGTAATGGAAACAGGCTTGGTGAATAAATCCTGACACGTGAAGCATTAAAATTTATGATACATTTGGATGAACACTTGACTACTGCTCTCTATATCAGAAATGCATAACATGTTTTCTTGTACACTTGTTTCCATTTTAGGGTGAGGCAGGTTTGGGTGGGTTTCCTGGAAAGCCTGGTGTTCCTGGGAAAGATGTAAGTTGTGATCTTCTGTTAAGCTGCTGCAGTCACAACTGTTTGTGTAACCACAGATAATAAATGTCTGTGGTGGCTTTAGTGAGTCACCTCTGCATTAATAAAGCTTCTCTCCAAAACTGATTAGGGATTGAGAGGACTTGTTGGAGCACCTGGGCCTAGTGGAATTAAAGGCGACAAGGTATGTTCCTCCCCAACTGTGCTGTATGCAAAACACCCTGCTCACTTGATTAGAAAGAACTCAAAGAGGATATTGCCTTAAGTATGAAGTTAAACTGTGCTGATAGCGTATGAATAATTTCAAAAAAGCTATCATCAGTTTCCCAGGCCACTGTCTGCACTCTCCAGACATTCCTCAGTCTCCTCTGTGCACCATCAAAGTCAGCCCACTCATTTGTCTGCGAAAATAAAATGCCGAGTTCATTGGTGTGTCTGTAATTACCGTCTTTGATGATTTTTCCAGCTGTACACACACCCATATGCGTGAACATGGATACACACATATGCATAAAGAATTGTTGTGGTACTTTACCCACCGGTTTCACTTTCTTTTGGGCACACACTTGAACGTGCATCATCCCATAAATTACAGTCATTGCTGTATCATTACCATATTGCCTGAGGGGTTTTACTCTGTAAGCCTCTTTATTCTAATGATGGGGTTTCCATCCTTGTTGTTTGAACTGTGTCATAGGGGGAAAGAGGCCTTCCTGGATTACCTGGGGATGTGGTGAGTATCGAAATACATCAAAGGGATGTAAGATTTATATTTTTACAAATTAGAGGCTAGTTTAGTGATGAAGAGCGGCGTGACAGAGTATAAACAAATAAATAGTCCTGTTGTGCATTTAAACTACAGTTGGTTACAATTATTGTGATTATTACCAACAAATCGGGTTTTACCTAGTTACCTCACCGATCTGACCTTTCCAACTGAAAGTACACACTCCTGACAGATTAAACAAAATCACTGAAATATAATTTGTGACACTGTGAGATAAGGATTACCAGTTGTCTCACCCCTCGCCTTGTTTCACACCAGTTTAGCACAAGAAAATCGACAATGATTTTACTTCTCTTAGCCCATGTTCAGACTGAGTTTCAAAAATGTGAAAAAACTCAGCCCTCTCCATTCATTTCTTGCATTCACTGCAGCCAGCACTAGAACCACAAAGGGCTCTGGCAAAACAACGCAGCCTCATACAGCAGAAAAGTTTAATCTGGTTCAACTTTCCCCACACCAGAAGGTGACCTCATCTGGCAAAGGAGCTGCATTGACCAATCGTGTTAGGGGGAATGATCAGAGTGTGGATGTTTACCTTGTTAGCATGAGCATTCAGTGCTGTTCACTCTCGAATCTGGGCCACAGTTAACACACCATAATGACGCCATGCATTTTCTTTAGTACTGGATGTTAAACAGTGTTTTTTTTATCTATCAATGCAGACACACTGATGGAAGAAATTTGCGTTAACATAGAGTAAGCTACATTAGTAGCATGGCTAACCAGAACACAATGGAAACTACTGGGCTGGAAACGTGAATGAAGACACCATACATGCTGCAGCCAACATCCAGACAGAAATAACTCCCCCTATCAGCAGGTGGCAGTATCTGTATTTGCCATTCAGAAAGGGGAAGAAGAAGTACTAGAATGCATAAGTATAAGCTATAAGGAAAACACCTCTTCCTCAACACAGCTGCTGTTCATAGCTGCTTCTAATCAAGAATATGTCAGTTAAGAAGCTGCAAATGACACGGACGTTCTCTGCCCTTGGTCTTTTGGTTGTGGAAGAAGAAAGGAGGTTGTGGAGGTGAAAAACAAGGAGAAATCATAATAAATTGGTGAAATCAAGGATACTATGGGAACAGGCTTAACGGGCTTCCCTGTACCATTCTCTTCTTGTGCATTGATTCGCTAAGCTCAACAGCCAATCAGAGCAGTCTGTCTCTCTCACTAACAAGGTCTGACTGCTGACGCCAATTCAACATGTCAAATCGGCAAACAAACCACCAACAGAGACTGACTATAGCCCCAACAGATGCTCACCGACAGCGGCCGACATAGCCAACCGACAGCCAACCATCAGCCAACCGTCATCTTAGTGTCTCTCTGCCCTTGGATTAAAATTTATTGAATGACTGCAGACTGTACAGAACTCAGCTGCCAGGCTTTGAACCATGATCAAGAGGCGTGACCACATCACTACCATCTGAGCTTCATTATACTGGCTCCCAGTTTGTTTTATAGCTGATTTAGAAGTTTATTGATACTTTTAAAGCTCTTCCTAAACTTTCTCCTAGATAGATTTATGACATTTTAGCACGTCAAAATCACTATTCTTACTTAATGTAATGGTTTATACTGTGTTTTAATTTCAGGTTCAAAAAGAGGGCTTACGAGGCGAGAAGGTGAGTAAAATGTCTTAACAGTCCACTAGAGATTTATTCTGCCTCAATTAATTGTCATTTAATTACTACCAAACATTACAAAAACTAAACTGAGATGCAGTTTATTAAGACAGTGTTAGCCTTGTTATTCCTATTACTAGGAAACTGGCCAATGTGAGTGAAAAATAAACATAACAGTTCTGTTTTCAGATACAATACTTAGAGTACTGTATTTATTTAAAGGATTTATCATCTGAACAGTTTCACCATGCCAGTGTCAACATTGTCTATTTAGGGGTACACTATAACACAAACTCATGTATTCAACCTGTTTCAGGGAGATGCTGGACCTCCTGGGCCTCCAGGGGCTGACGGCTCTCCGGGGCCTTCTGTAAGGATCAAGATTTATTGCTACATGCTTCCTCTTTTGTGCTGCTTAGCTTTTGACATTTTCCTTTGCTGGAAAAGCCGCCTGTTCAGATATACTTCATGGAAACACCAGCTATGCTGTATGAAAACTGACTGAGCATTGTTTTCTCAGGGTCCTCCTGGCCCACAAGGTCTACCTGGGGAGCCTGGAGAGTTCGGCCAGAGGGTAAGAACCTCATTTTGAGGGAAGACTATCTCAAAACGTCTTTCCAATATGTCATTTTCATTTTAGGACTAGGCACATACGTAATTGTTAAATACTGGCACACATAGATTTCTGTTGTGTCTTGGTTCAGAATACTGTAGTCATATCCATCCCAGAGATCACAGAAGATATTAATTTGGCAGACTGGTGTTTTCTTTTAAACATTCCACAGAAGCAGAACTGTTCTGGTTGAATTTCAATATACTGTACAATTGGGCAAAAGAAGGGGAAGTTTGCTAACTGAGTATTTGAATGGGAAGGAAGTCTTAAGTGGTAATCGATTTTATTTTATTTTTTTGCATCTGGCATTGATGCCTTAGGCTAATATGGCAAGTAGAAATATGACCTTATGAACATATCTGGTATGGAAACAATGCATCAGGGACATCTCAGTTTGCATGCAAATCAAACCATCAAATCATTTTCTAGGACAGGCAGACCTCCCTGTAAACCAAGATCATATACTGTATCATATGCAGTATACCTCCTGATATAACCTAAGCCTAAACATACATCCTTAGTCCAATCCTCATGCACATATAAAATGTGTAGAAACCCTTAGAAGATGGTTTGCCTGGAAAGCTTGATTCAGGGCAAGAAATATATTAATAGCAGGTATATTAGCCTCCCCCTCTCTTATGCAGCATCTTGTCTTATTTATGATGCAACTGGATTATGCTTTTTCCAATAAGTAAACATTATTAATGAATAGGCTTGAAAGGTTGAAGAATGACCATCCTAAATTTAGCTGCATAATGTTCACTGACAGCATATTTAACAACTTGATAACAATTTTGTATGTCCCTCCACACTTGATAAGGGTTACGGAAAAAGATCTAACACACAAAATATCCATCCAGCCATCATCTATACCGCTTATTCCTGAAAAGGGTTGCAGGGGACTGGAGCCAGTCCCATCTGATACTGGGTGAGAGGTGGGATACACCCTGGACAAGTCACCAGTCTATCACAGGGCTGACATCTAGACATCTAACCACACACACCCACACTCATGCCTACAGGCAATTTAGAGTCACCAGTCAACCTAAGATACATGTCTTTAGACTGTGGGAGGAAGCCGGAGTACCCGGAGAGAACTCGCACAGGGAGAACATGCAAACTCTTGTTGCCAAACCTACCCATAAACAGGACTCAAAGTGCAAACACTGATTTCTGGTGTCAAAGGCATGTCCAAAACAAGCTACAATAGTGATGTATAGGTGTAGAAAATAAGTTTGTACCACAAGGGAATTTCTTTGTAATAAAAAAAGAAAAGAAATTAAACCACATAATGTTGTTTTGCCATAATGAGAAAAACATTCATTAGAAATACTTTCATGCCTGGTGCATTGGGAGCTAGTATGTGCTTTAGCTCGACTTAACAAATACAGAAAAATTGTCTGCCAAGGTTTGATTATTTAGCCTCTAGAGCAGCTCATAAAAAAACAAACTGTAATCTAAAGTTTAATCTTTATTTCCATATTATTATTTAGAATTAGGAAGACTGCTAATTGTTTTTCATGCTAATGAGACCTGATCCAGTAGCTGCTATCAGTGCTTATAGAGTTGTTTATAAAAATTGTCCTTTGTCTCTCATATTCTTTTCCCTCTGTCACTCTCCACACTGGCCCCATCACACAGCGGTAACATAATTAAAAGCAGGCACAGTGGTTCTACATAATTTGTTCTTCCAAAGCATTAACAAAAATTGTGACCTCTCTTCACCTTCTCTACTGGGATCAATTAACTTCTCATCAGAAATCTATTGGAACCAGCATTTGCTCAGTTGGACAGCAGAGTTAAGCCAAATTTCCTCTGGCCACAAAAGAAAGACTTTTCCACCAGAAAGCACTTTGTCCTTAGCCAGACAGGTTTTTCTGAGATAAAAACAGTTTATAACTTATTAACATGAATCACATTAAGTTCAGATTCCCCAGGATCTAGAAAACCTCCCATTGTGCAGGTTTATTCTTATTCTACAATATTATTGGAGGATTTTAGCATTTTACAGCCCCACGGGATGCTTTCCCAAAGAATACTCAAAGAAAAATAAAACCAGACCTACTGCATTTTCTTCAGGTTTGGGGTTGTTATACTGTATCTCAGCAGAAGATGCATAGGGAAAAAGAGTGTGGGGGTGGAGGGAGGCTGAGGTTTGTGATAACAGGGTGGCCTCCATGCTGCTAGTGTTGATAGAATTGGCTGTATCACTGAGTTGGTATAGACTGAGGCACTCTCACCTCCACTGCAGCAGAGCTCTCAGCTGTCTTCTGTGTCACTGCTGCTGAGGCCTGTCTATTCACCTTCATGATATGACAGCTGAGGGCAGCCTGACCTGGAATCAGGGTGGGTGGCACAGGCAGGATTTTCCTGTCCTCTGAAAATGCCACAGGCTTTTGGGAATCAAACATGTATTCCTTCAGATTTCTTGTCCATTTGACCTAGTTTGATGAAATAAACTTTATTTTGGCTGTTTGGAGTCATAGAGATTAAATCTGTTACTGTCAGTTTACTAATAATTTATATACAGTATTGAAAATAAAATAAACACATTTAAATATGTGGTTTAAATAACACTTCACCAGAGTAAATCACATGAATTCTACAAGAGCCAAAATCTGAGATGGAAGTTAAAGCTACTATTTTAAGATGGCTAGAGATGTTATTTGTAAAAGCTTTGCTAGTTTTCTGCTCCTCTGAAACTGGATTTAGAAGCTGCTTCATTTAGTAATGTGGAATAAAAAAATCAATTACCAAGATTTCTACTCTTAAAAATGAATATTTTTCAGCTGCAGCTAGGGAAAAAATGTTGTTTTAGTACTAGTTAAGGCTAGATGGCTAGTTTTACCTGATAGAGTTCCCTCTTTTTCTTTGATTAAAGTATGTTAGTGTGTTTTTCTGTGGTGGAGAATACACTATTACTCAATTATAGACCTGTACAATAAAGCATTAACAATTTATTTCTCAGATTGAATATCTAAATGTTATTTCACAGCCACTCTGACAATTTCGCCTGGAGAAATCTTATATGAATAATGCTGACTTTAGATACTAGAACTGTCCCTGAAAATAGTGCTGAACCATTCAAATTCCAAGAAAAAATACAGAGAACATGACCCCAGTAGCAGTTTCAGCCCTGAAAATACTATTGTTTTTAACTGTATTTCAGGGAAAGAAGGGTGAAAGTGGATTGCCTGGAGTGGATGGCCTTCCTGGACCCAGTGTAAGAACAATTACGATTTCATAACATGCAGAATGCACACACACGGTGAATGCTTGTTTATGTTCAGCTCATGCCAGTGGTATTCTTGTACCTCACTGACCTCTCAAGGAGAAATGAGGAGGATTAATTTGGTATTTTTATTGTGTGGGCTGCTCAATATTTGATGTGACCCACAAAGCGCATAATGACTTCTCTCTCAAAGGTATCTTCATTGTGTGTTTTAATAGAGGGAAAATAAACACACCAGAGTAAAACCAACAGGTTATGTCAATTAATTTTACAAATTGATCCCTGGAGCAATATAGAAATACACCTGACTCTAAGTGGTATCCAAGGTTGAATGAGCAGGTAGCAGTGATGCAACACTTTCCTCTAGTGGCCGCTTCTGGTATTGACGCACACTGTGTTTTTTGAAAGTTCGCATAAACAAAACATTGGGGGAAAATCAGAATATTTGTGTTCATCATATTAGACCAGAAAATATACTGTTTAGTGGTACATTTTTCTGTAGTTTTAATAAAAAAAAAACCTTCAAAACCTACTGTATATTATGTGATTTTCCCTGACCTTTTTGTTTGTTCATTTGTTTTGCAGGGTCCTCAGGGTCCACCTGGCCCACCAGGAATCCAAGGACGCCCTGGACCTCCTGTAAGTGACCAGAAAACAAAATATGAAATATAACTATTTGCTTTGACAATGAATTAATGTCTGATACAGAATGAATATATTAATAACTCACCTTTCTTTATGAAGGGTCTACCTGGTGAAATTGGATTTTCAGGCAAACCTGGAGAGGTTGGAAAGCCTGTGAGTTGGCCTTTCATTCTCCAATGAAAACATCATTTGATGTTAATGATACTTTAAGTCATAGGTGTTCCATCTGTGGTAGTTTTTCTGAACATGTCAACCCTTTGTCACTCATGTTCAAAGGGTCTTCCTGGTAAAGATGGCCTGGATGGTCTTCCTGGAAATGACGGTGCTATGGTTAGTAGGCTATAACCTCTAGAATAACTTTTGTTTTAGTGCCATCCATTCTCCCAGTGCTTTGTCAGTCAACATTAGAATGAGAAAATGCCAGGGAATTACCTATAAAAACTAGCTCTGTATTACTATTTGAAACCTTTTCATTTGAAGTATGTAAATTTATTGTGTTGGCTAAACTGATTTATGGCGCGATACAGGTTTGTGAAAGTATGACATCTAAAATGTAATCTTGTTTCACTGGAGGGGCCTAAGGGAACACGTGGATCAGATGGTTTTCCTGGCAAGCCTGGACCTAAGGTATTGTGAATACGGCATTTTTAAATTACATGTGTATTTTCCATATACAAACCTGACATTTTAATGGCCATGTGTCTTCTCCCAAGGGTGATGAAGGTCCTCCTGGACCAAGGGGGCCTCCAGGGGAACGAGTGAGTAAAGTTGTTGAATTCGCTTTTAGTTGAGTTGTTTTTTTTTTTTTTTGACACAAGAAAAACATATTTTATCATGTTACATGTATGTATTGTCTTCAGGGAGAGGCTGGTTCCCCTGGACGACCAGGTGCTGATGGTACAAGCGGAGACAGGGGCGTTCCGGTAGGGCTGACTGTGCTTGTCAAAATGTTTTAACAAGCATCACTAGGAGCATGTTCCTTCACAACTATAAAGATTTTACAAGACTGTCCCATGTTACTAATTTAGTATTGAACTGTGTAATGTATAAAATTGTGCATGGGGAGACATTCTGTTAAGGCCACTCTTATATTATTATACAACAAAGATAATTTCTAGTAAAACAGACTCTTGTCAAATTAACAATTTGGCTGGGTAACCTCTGGTCCATCCCTTCAGGGGTTAGTGGGTGCCCCCGGATGGCATTTTGTCTATTTATTGCTTGTATTAATGTGCAAATATGGTCTGTGACCTGTAGAAAGGTTTTAAATTTTGATTTTCTCTCATCTGTCATAGGGAGTAAGGGGACAGGATGGGCCAGTTGGGCCGAAAGGTGAAAAGGGTGACAAGGTAATTAAGGAACCTGTTTCATATGCTTTACAGGTCTGTGCAAAGAGAAATGCTGAATTTTTGCTATCATAGTAAAGTATTTACAAAGTCGCCCTCCTCTGTCTCAGTAATGATCAGCCTGCAGTATTAGCTGTAATAAAGTATACAGACAATGTGAACTTTTTGTCTCTTGCCTCAGGGTGAAGTGGGAGAGAGAGGACTGCCTGGAATTCCAGGAGATGTAAGGACCTAGTTTTACTGTTTCTGCTGCGTATGTTAGCATCCTGTACAGTTGCAGCATAAAGAGTCAGGGATAAGTCAGTTTGACTCAGCACTAATTTCAGACGTGCAAAATTATTATTGGCTGTCTTTTTTTTTCTTCACAGCTGACAACTGTCATCCCTGAGCCTGGTGAACCTGTAAGTAGACAACAACCAAAATTAAGATTTTTTCTTTAAGTCTTTAGTTGATACATCAGTGGTACTGTATATATTATGCCATGGGCCTTTACTGAATTTGTGAAGGAAGTTAAAGAAATCTTCTGTTCTTCCTCTGCCCCTCACCTCTTTTTTCTTAATTTTTATTGATATATTTCATCTCATTGTTTGTTCTTGCCTCTAGGGAAAACCTGGAGAAAAGGGAGAGAAGGGGGATCAAGGAAAACCAGGAGAAATGGTGAGGATTTTCTTTATGCTTCAGAAGTTGTGGTTTTATTTTCCTAAATCTACAGTACAATAACCAAACTGCATCAGACAATATCCAAGAGAATCCACTAGATGTCAATAGAGATTTGGAAACAGTGAAGCAGTCCTGGCACAAAATGAGATTGCAGGGGACATTTTTTAATTGGCTAAGGAAATGAAACAGTAAAACACTGACCTGATTCTCCATCCACTGCACGTTTGTAGATGTACACAAATTTATGTTGACCAGAATAGAATGCCGAATATGTTTGTATATATAGCATATACAAGTAAATTGTATAGTTTAATTAATAAATCATTAACATAATTAACACATGTGCGAAAAAAAAGTTTTCTTATTATCTTTGACTTTCTCATCATATGAAGGTGATGCCCAGTTAATAATTTAGTCACAGGATATGATAGTAATTCTATGTTGGTATTATCTTCAACCTTCAATTTTTGTTTTTGTCATCTGGAAACACAATAGACCTTATAGCATGAGGCTTGATGAGAAAAATAATTGTAACAAGAATATTTGCAAACAAATATTGATCTGATGTGTAGATCAGCACTAGTAACACTAACATGTTATTTGATGTGCCTTCTCTGAAGGGCCCCAGAGGATTACCTGGTGAACAGGGTTTTAAGGGTCCACCTGGGCCACTGGTAAGATCCTCTACTCCTTTACCTTCTAGTCATCATTTGCATTTGTTGCAAAACTTTAAGTTTAGGTTTTGTACATGTATTTTAAGACATTTTTTTAAATTCCAGGGTCCAAAAGGTGACACTGGGCTTGCAGGAGAGACAGGACGTGCTGGAGACCCTGTGAGTTGGAAGATTTAGTGTGATTCACATGTTCACATCCAGAGGGAACATGTTCTTAGTGTAATGGCTCATGTGTTTTGCTCAGGGTCCACCTGGTGTAGCAGGACTTCAAGGTCTTCGTGGATTACCAGGGAATGTGGTAAGTCTTTAAAACATTTTTAAAAAATCAAAAGAGATATTAATTATCTACCAGCATGCATTTCACATGAGTCTTTACTGGGAAAACATGGTGTCAGCTGTGAAACAAACAACAGGTTTTGATAATGAATCACTTCAGTATGGAACTCAGGAGGTTTGTGTCTTCTAGGGGATACCAGGGATTATTGGGCCTCCTGGTCCAGCTGGACAGACGGGAGACAAGGTCAGTGACCTGTATTTAAAAGCCATGGGAATATTTGGTTAGATGTCTTTTTTGTATTCAGACTACTGCATGTTCACAATGGTTTTGGCAATGCAAATTGGAAATACTGCAGAGACAAAAATTTTGACCTTGTATGCCCTCCTTTATTGTTTCTGCAGAGGAGTCTTTGAATTCATTTCAATCCTGCAGCAGCAGCTACATGCAGGGATTTCACAAAAGCAATTCAGAACACCTTCTGTTTCTCATGGCTTTTTCACTGTTTTTGTTTTCTGTTTTTGTGTTTTTCTGTGGCATTTCCACTAGTTACAGCAGTGACATTTGCAAAATTGTGTGTTCCCACCATGTTTCTGTAAGTCACTATTCAGAATAACTAGTTTACCAATTCAAAGGACATGGCTCACATCTATTCTCAATGGGTATGACCCAGTGGTAGAAGGCACTCCAATCACCACACAAACATTACACATACAATCGTATTTTAATTCAGCTTAAATTGGCCACAAAAAGTTACAAAGGTTTCATTTTAGAGTTTCTGAAACATCAGGTTAATGTATCTGTTTTAGCTTTGACAGTCAATAATGTTATGTCTTTATTGTAACATTTATTTAGGGTGAACCAGGTAAACCAGGACAAGCTGGTCCTACGGGCCCACCCGGAGAGCCTGGTTTGACTGGACCCCCTGGACCACCAGGGAAAGGGAAAGACGGAAAAAATGTAGGGCACACTGCTTTTTCTGTCACACTTGAATATACCTCATTTGTACTGTGGATTTGCAGAATGAATGTTCAGCTGCAGTTTCTTATGTATATATAGATTACAGTACATGTAATTAGAGGATTTAAAGGGAACAGCAAACAAATTGAAATTGACTTATTGAAAATAGGTACATTTTTAGTTTAAATGGTAATTATTTGTCTGTTCTGAATCACCGCTATGAAATTACATTAACTTTTTTAAACAAGACCTGGATGTATACAGTAAACCAGATTTCTAACTGATTTGATTTGATTTATTCTTTCAAGCATGTAAAGACAGTTGATATGTCAACACATAATTTTACACATATCCAACAAATGCTAATCCAATATCAATTTGCTTATACCTAGTACATGCTTGAATGGAGTAGGAAGAAGTCAGACTTATCCAGTCCTACCCCATGACATCATCTTACCATCATTGGTTTGCAAGCAGTATCTCTACATAAATAATTATCTTCTACACCACACAAGTAATATACTAAAAAAATTATAACAGAGTGTTAACATTCTTACATAATTACATTCTTAAATAATTATCTTCTACACCACACAAGTAATATACTAAAGAATTATTACAAAGTGTTAACATTCATACACCACACCCACAATGTTCCATCTAATTAATCATTGAGCCTGTTCTTGCATATATCTTGATTGACACATACCTTTATATTTATGTTTAAACTCGTCAATTCTATTACTATTTTTTATGTCCACACTTAAATTATTCCATAGTTTTACCCCACTTATGGAAATACAAAATCTTTTTTTGGTTGTACGTATAGCATGAATTTTTAAATTTAACTGACCTCTTAAATTGTATCCCCCTTCCCTTTCATTAAATAGTTTTTGAATTCCACCAGGTAATACATTGTTCCTGGCTTTATACATAAACACTGCAGTCTTATATCCCACTAAATCAAAAAATTTTAACAATTTAGACTGTATGACAGCTGCATTGGTGTGATCCCTATACCCCATCTTATGCACAATTCTTATCGCTCTTTTTTGTAATATATACAATGGTTGAAGTGAGCTTTTGTATGTATTTCCCCAGTTTTCAACGCCATACTCTAGGTATGGTAAAATCAATGAAGAATACAAAATGCGTAGTGCTTTCCTGTCCAAAATATATCTGACCCTTGCCAATATCGATATATTTTTTGCTATTTTGTGCTGAACATATCTGATATGAGATTTCCAGGAGAATTTGTCATCAACTATGACACCTAGAAATTTAATTTCATATACTCGTTCTATATTAGCTCCCCCAATTTTCACTTGCAGTTCGTTATCAAGTCTACGATTCCCAAATACCATAAATTTAGTTTTATCCATATTCAGAGATAGTATGTTACTATCACACAATTTCTTTATCTTCTCAAGTTCCTGTGAAACCCGTCCAGTGAGTTGCTGTAGGTTTTCACCCGATGCCCATATGGTAGTGTCATCAGCAAACAAAACCACTTTCACTAAATCCGCATATATTATTAATGTATAATATCAATAATTTCATAAAGAGAAATTTTACAGGAGGTTACGACCCATCAGCTACAGCCTAACAAAATATTTAAGTGAACAGTTAAATTTACATCCAATTTTTCCCTTTATTTTCCTTAAAGGGAAACTCCACCAACTCAACACATGAAAGTTCATTGATAGGTCTTGGGGATTACCAGTGCATATGTGAAAAAAAAAATTCTATTCAATTCAATTCAGCTTTATTTGTATAGCGCCAAATCACAACAAAAGTCATCTCAGGACACTTTACAAAGTAAGGTCTAGACCTTACTATTATCATTATAAAAGCAGTGATGTCATTTGAGTCCGTGTCAGCTGGGGATCAAGACCATACAAGTTTGATGAAGAAGAAAAGAGAAAAACATCCCATGTCTGATCTGTGCTTGAGAGTAACAATTCAAGCTGCACACCTGACTCTGGAATTGCACGGTGGCTCATGTACAGTAGTAGTCAAAGTTTAACAAAATAGATGATTCCACCCTGTCTGACAGTATGTTGTCTATTAGATCGTTCCAACATAGAAGAAGAACATTTTATTTAATATGAAAGCATGATTTTTACACCACCACATTTTTATTGCTGCAGTTTTCTGTCAAAAACAAAAATTATATGCATTAGTTTGTGCATGTTTTTTTCATTATTTGGTGTCTTTGGAGCCTTTTGTGTCTCTACTCAAAGTTACAATAGATTTGATTGATTGATTGATTGATTGATTGATTTTATTCTTTCAAACATGCAGAACAGAACAAATGAACAAATGGCAACAACACACATAATTGCACATATCCAACCAATGCTAATCCAAAATCAGTTTGCTTACACATATTACATGTTTGAATGGAGTAGGAAGAAGTCAGACTTATCCAGTCCTACCCCATGACATCATATTATACAAAAATTAATGCATCATTGGCTGCAAGCAGTATCTCTACATTAATAAACAGAGTATTTCCTTAATGCCTTCTCGAATAATCTTATTCTTGCATATATCTTGTATAACACATACATTTATATTTATGTTTAAACTCCTCAATTCTAGTACTATTTTTCATGTCCACAGTTAAATTATTCCATAATTTGAC